TTTTTACGTCATTTATTTATGTTTAAGAAAAATTAAATGAATTTTATACACGATAAGTAGTTATGAACAATTGATTAGAAATGTATTCCGAAATCTATTTTGAATATATATTATATAAATCATTTGAGTCTAGTATTATCGCACTTTTCAAATTACTGATTTTCATGCATCACACCGGAAATCAGAAATCTGGTTAAAAATAATTTTTAGCCAATCATGTATTGGCATTTTTTCTAGATTTCTGATTCCTAGTGTGATGTATGAAAATCAGCGGACACAGCAATTTGAAAAGCGCGATAAATCTCAATATTTATAATTTCGACAATACAATACATAATTCTGACTAACAGAAGCTTGAAAAACATCTTAAATTCTAACTAGTATTGCTCAAAATCCTGATAATTCATGATCCCAACAATTCAAACTTCCTTCTATAATATAATATCTCGATCCCAACTATAGAAGTATATACACGAATGTTAAATGCTAACTGGTCAATCAAAATCGTTAATTTAAAAAAATATTAATCAAAACTTGTATTTAAAAATTCAATATCGTTGAATGTTATTACAGGTAAACAAACAAATAAACGTGACTACAGTATATTATATAAAGTTTTTATAATCTCTACATTTTAAAATTCATAAATTGTTTTGCACATTGTACTTATATAAGTCTACTAAAAATTTTGGATCAAAGTTAATGACTATTATTTGTATGTTTCAACTGTTAAAAAAAATTTCAATATCACGCAGATATAAAAGATTATACAATCTAAATTTTACTTTTATTATTTCTCTAGCGTTATTTGCGTTATTTTAAGCTTGTTTTTTTTGCGCAACAGTCGAGATAGCAAACGAATTACTCATAGCTTTGGTCAGTGAAGAGTAACATGAAAGCTGTGGGAGTAAAGGAGAATTAACGAATAAATTGTAAGGCAAGGTGTAATGTTCAAATTTAAATTTATATAATAAATTATTATAGGAGATAATTCCGAAAAAAGTCTTGTAAAGCATATAAATAGTCTTCCTTAACAATTATGTAATAATAATAGAATGGTTATTTTTATATTTGGGACGTTACTACTAGAGTTGTAAGTATCATAACATCGCTTAAGGTAAACTTTTGTTAATGCACTAAAGATGGTTTAGAAATAAACAATTCTTGACAAAACAGTTAAAATCTTCCTGATTATGTTATATTTGATCTTAAAACCGATTCAGGACGTGCAAAATGCTTTTAATCTTTGCACTTTATAACTTCTAAGATACATTTGTAAAAAGCTCACGATTATGCGCATCTATTTTTCAGGCAAGATCTTGCAAACTGAAAATGGTTAAGAAAATGCCAAAATAATTGCTCATATTTGAAGGGTCACATGTTATGATGTGACTTTAATTTTTCACATTCTTTAATTTTCGATTTGTTGAAACCTTGGCAACTTACTTGTTTTAAGGATGACTAAGACTTTAGCGTTAGGTAAAAAGTTTAAAAACGTGATTCTGTCGACTTGTGTTATTTTTTGTGTGACATTTTTTGTGTGACATTTTTTATGTGACATTTAGATTGACCGTTATGGCTTCTTGCGTACCCGAAACTTGTTATTTACGTACGTACGTACGTACGTACGTACGTATGCTAAAATGATCTGATGATCTGCAATTTCCGTTATTGTTATAGAAATTCTAGTTAGATTGGATCATTAGTTCTTGATATCATAATCCGGATCAGATCACCCAAACTTGTATACCTCATACAATATATAAATATAATGTATGTGATGCATATCGTGAAGGTTAAGAGCCGAAATTCACGTTTTTACCACGTTTAGCATATTGACCAATCACTTACATGATTTTGTGGACGTACAGTATCCTCGGAAAGTTTATCACGGTGGGAAGATTGAAGAATAAGTACCCCGTGATATCTTCGTGATCATCACATCACATGATTAAATTACTCGGCCTAAATTAGAGTTAGGGTTAGGGTTAGATGATAGTATAGTTTAGGCCGATTTGTTAGTGCGAGTAAACAAATGACGTCATTAACGATTTCATGTGATGTGATGATTACTGGGGTACCTATTCTTCAAGTGTCCCTATCACGGTTACACAAAAATTTAACGTTGTCACGTTCAGGGGAGAGACTTTGTTATATTAGCACTAGGGTTCTTACTATACCTGATACCGTATTATACCATTAGTATAATACCAGTATAATAAGATTCTGAGCTATAATAAATTGGGGTATATTGTTAGTTATATTGTATTATACAGTATTATATGGTATGATACTTGGTATTATACCTGGTATTATACTACCAATTTCTATTATACCGGTATAATTAGAACCCTAATTAGCACCAATTTAGTGCAGGAACGTGAGCATAAAAATGGTAACCTGAATATCTTATTTACGAACTCAAAGCACTTTAGGATATTAAACAAATGTCTTTATTGTGTCCCAGACACACTATTAGTACTATTACACTTATTTCCTTAACTACTTAGCAAGTTCCAAACTTACTAAGAGTCCAAACGAAAACTACTCAAAGGCTCTCTAAAACTAACTAACTTAAAAGTACTTCTAAACCAACTCTCTCTCTACTAACGTTCTATATGTCTATATTTATACATATAATTAAACTACAAATTGACTATTTACTATTTACAAGTATGTCGTATAACTATATAAATGTCTAATTAAAGTATACCCTTTACTATAAACTTCGCATAGACTATTATAGAGCTACACTACATATCTCACATGTTCCACAAGCCAAAGTTTAATTCTGAAACTTGGTTGCGTCACAACGTATACGCAAATTGTGAAGCCAATTACATCAATTTTCGTGAACTTAATAAAATAGTATACAAAATCGTATTGTGAAGTTATTCCTAATGAAGGTTATAGTAGAAGATACTGACACATTTATATTGCTGATATATATTCATATTGTAATATTTGCTTATTCCACGGGTCTTATGTAACAACCCGTGCTTTTTTCATTTGGTTATTGCACGGGATTGTACGTCAGACACCGTGAAATAATATAGTTATTGTATGGATATATGAATAACCCGTGGCCTTCGGCCACGGTTATTCACTACATACCCATACAATAACAAGTATATATTGATGTATTGCATGTAATGATAACATATCGATATTGCTAAATTTGCATATTTACAAAATTTACGTTAAGTTTCTTCGTGTAACTGTGATAAACTTTCCAAGGATACTGTACATCATTAAGCCATATAACCATACCCTTCGTGATATTTACATATCACTCTGTTTCCTGGTAAATATAGTAAATTAATTATAAAACTTCAAAATTTAATTTTTTAACAACCATCAATTCAATTAAGCTAAACTTTTACTAGATATTTATTATATATATAGCAATATATTTGTTTAATATAAGCTTATAAGGTTGTATATTGATGACAAAAATGATTTAAATTTTTTAAAAAAATTGAATTTTAAAAAAATTTTTACTCAATAAAATGTTCATATAAAGGTAATAAAAAATATATATTAAAAATTGGCTAGAACTTACTTTATCTAATATAAAAAATTGTAAATATATAGTCAAAATTAAAAAAATATTTATATGTTGTCAAAATTAATTTTTGCTTTCATGTATCTACATTTTTGAATCGGACCGTATCTAAATAAATTTATAAGCACTTTACCATTTCTAAATCCAAAAAACTTTATTATGAGTATTAAATTTAGTTTTACATAAAACTTTTAATAGTGAAATTAATTTTATATACTTAAAACTACGAGTGATTGAGAAATAAAAATTGTCCAGCCACACCACCAAAAATTATCAACCATAAGGATAAATAAGGTTTTTTAAACCCATGTAAAACAGCTAATGTCAAAACGTACAACACAGCAGAGAGACTACTATTTTTTGCTTGAATAACAGGTAGGTCTTGCGGTGATACATTAGCAAGACCTGTAGTAGATACTATTGAAGTTTTGAGTAGGTCCATTGCAATTACAGCAATAATTCCAACTACAGTGCCAGAAATACCATCAAAAAATGCCGCTAAGAATTGATTACGAACTAATTTTTCAAGTAAATTATGTCCTAATATCGTAAATACAAAGCATGGAAAAAGTATCCCTATGGCTATGAGTGTTCCACCTAGCAATCCATAGCCTACACTTTGGCCCCCCCAAAGATAACCAGCCTGAAAACCTATAAATGTTGAGAACATTACTAATGGTGAAGGAATGATGTTACCGATGGCTATAGAGTTGAGGAATGTTGTTGCAGACATCCATTGTCCTATTGTTACTGCTTCAGCTATATCAAAATCAATAAACAATCAACTAAAAATCTTGAACGAAATCAATCAGGAATAAAATAACCAATAAAGTAGTATACCTTGTAAAAATGGTATTGTCACCTTGAAAAAAAAATTTTCTTTTGTTTAAAAAATAGAACGAAAAAAAAAAACGATTTCTAAGACAAGAAAAAAAAAATTGATAAAACTTACATAGGCACCACCAAAAGACAAGCTACCAGCAACTAGTCCAAGGGCGAATGTGTGACCTGGGTCAGGACCCGAGCCAGGATCAGCTTTAGCCACACCAATACCCAAAGTACTAGGTGACGGAATATCTTTGTTAATTCCAATATAAATTCCATAACCAATTATTTCCAAAAAAATCACAATTAAACCAAGCCAATATATTTTTCTTTCAATAAACATAAATGCTACACCACATACGCCTAAAGTTATGAAATAATTAAATCTTAAAACGGTTTGAAGTGAAGCTAAAATCGCCATGCAAAATAACCAGTAACTAAAACGATGAGTTGTATGTGATATTAGCGCATGGTCAGCAATTTTGTGCACAGCTCTTAAAACCATTGCAGCCACAATCGGTTGTAAAGCTCGGAAAGAAGCGTTAAAACGATCATTTTGAAGCCCAACTAAAACGTAAAGATAAGAAAATAATAAAATCAAAAGAAAGCCAGGTAAAACGAAACCCAAGCCACCGAGGAAACCGCCAAATCGACCACCAGCAAGACAACCGAAGAACATGCATAATTCAGTAGCTTCAGGACCGGGTAAAATTTGATAAACACCAAAGACTCTATTAAATCTTGGTATAGTAATCCATTTTTCTTTAATTACTAAAACATCCTTAATTAATGCTATTTGAGCCACAGGACCTCCCCATGCATTAAACCCAAACCAGAGATTAAGTAAAAATATTCTTAGGTAAGATAATTTTGGAACATTTGAATTATCCTCAAATTCATTGCTTAATTCATTGCTTATTTCTTCTTTTTCAACATAATTAGGAGGGTTTACATCATTTTCCTTTTCTTTTGTTTCATCATTTTCATTTTGATTATTCAATGTTGGAGATATTGTAACTTTAACTTCATCCTTTGTCACATGGTTTTCTTGCTGTTCAGAATTGATATCATTTTGCGAACTCATTAGTAATAAGTTAAATAATTAATCATATAATCATAAAAAATTTTCGGTGGAAAATAAGTTAATATCACTAATCATCCTGTTTATTTATTTATTTTTTTTTTTGAAGGCAGAATTTATTTGGTTAATAGCGCGATTAATAGTACTACAAACAATAAAATTTTTAATTCTTTAGATAAGTGATACAGCAGTGTCTAAAATTATTAATTGAATTCAAAAGCCGTATCTTTCCTTAAAAAATTTTCTGACTACTTCATGTGGTTATTCTGTGTAATTATGTACCTACGTACGTACGTATGTACGCACATACATACGCATTTGCTTAATGACGCCACTATTGTACTATTTTTGCAAGCATTTGCATACATAAGAAATCCATTTAAAGTATTGATCCACAAATTCTCATTTCATATTATATAACAATAATAGAATTAGAATATCTAAAATTTTATATTACATTTTAAAAAGACGATAACGATAGAATTAATCTTATCAGAATTCTCGCTGATTGATAGAATTTTTTATTGAATACGTACAAACAATGTAAATGAAATTATTTATAGGAGGGTAACTTATAATCATAAAATGGAATATCTAGTGATGAACTTTAAATTTATCCATTTATCGGATTTTCCGGAACATCCCTTATCAATTTTAAGACCGTGTGAATTCTATACTTTTTTTAGATTACTGCGCTTTTCAAATTACTGTGTCCACTGATTTTCATACATCACACTGGGAATCAGAAATCTAGAAAAAAATGCCAATACGTGATTGGTTAAACATTATTTTTAACCAATCACAGATTTGCATTTATTCTAGATTTCTGATTTTCGGTGTGGTGTATGAGAATCAGTGGACACAGTAATTTGAAAAGTGCAGTAATATTTTAAAATTAACCTCCCTCAAAATAATACATATGCTATTACAACCTGGGGAGAAACGCTTGCATACATCAATACTGAGTTTAGCAGGAATTTAGATTTCAGAGAATATAATCTTTATAGTGAGAAAATAAAATATTGTATTTTATAGAAATTTTTTTTTATTAAGTTCTAAGAAAGTTCTTATAACTCGAAATAAGCGACCATTTATATAAGAGAAAATATTATTTACAAATGAAGCAACCATCCTTAACTGTAAGAAAACGTAGCAATAATAACATATAGTTAAATATAGTGTTACATAACTGATAACTATTTCTAACTTGTGTTACGAAAAACTTCGTAGCAACGTGCGTATGTTAGACGTTACTTTCATACTTTCAATTAAAAATTGACGTACGTACGTACGTACTTAGTTTCAAAATTGTAAAATAATGTATGTCATACTTTAATCGGATATTTAATCGGTATAATTTTACCGATTTATAATAAATTAAAAGTAATTTATTTTTTTTTTTTTCTTTCTTGATAAATTATATTTGGTGTCGGATGCATTTTGGTGCACTCGATAGCAAATATGTACAAATCATAATTAAAAGTTGGGGTTAGGGTTAGGATTGGATTAGGGTAAAATTGTATGGAGAATATTTTTTATTAGTTATACAACAGGGTAAATCTTGAGATATCAAAGAGGTGTGTTTGTAGTCGATCGACTAATTGCCAATCGACTAAGTCGTTGCAACGTCATCATCTTAGTCGACTAAGCCGTTTAGAGAGATGTATTGCATTACATAATTTAAAATTGTTTTAATCTAACCGTATTATAGTAGCATCAAATTCTTAAAATTAAGAATATAAATATTAAAAGTGTTATATTACTATTTATGACAAAACCTGCTTGAATTTAACTAATATATATTTTTTTTAAATGCATAACCTATATTGTTTATTATATTTCAATATAAAATGTAGCAATATCATTGTTTTCTTTTAAAATAAATAATAATAAACATTACAAGGGTTTAAGCAGTTTCTCTTGTTAGTAATAATGTTTTCTGCATCTGAAAAAAGCTATTCAGAAGAACAGTTGTTGTGGGTATAGATATATAGATATTTATAGCTGGTTTATTATAAAGAAAAAGTGTGTTTTCTTTTATATTATCATTTTAAAAGATTATTAGATTGATATTGAGAATAGTTTATAGGTAATACAAGAAGTGGCAGAAGTTGCAAATATAAGGATATTTTTACATCTATCTTTATTGAAATTTAATTAGACTCTTTACAAAGAAAAGATACATTTAAATTTTATATCTTAAGATGTCAAGAAAAGAAACTCAGATAATTTATCGGCGGTTTAAACCATGATACTTAAATTATGATCTACTTATATTGATACTTATTATTATAATTTATATTAATATTATTTGTTTAATTTACTTTCTGAAATATTGATTTTAATTAGTCTCAGTATTTGTCATAATCAGTTTTACTAAAAAAATTCTGATATTCAAAATCTTGAAAATTATAATCATTATATGATGATTAATATTTAATGATTAATTGTCATATTAACAATTATTGTGGAGGCTAATGCTAAAATCAGATGATGCTAAAAATTAAAGTCTCTTTTTAAATCTATAAAACCTACTAAAATTTATATAGTATATACTTTTTTTATTAATAAATACTACCCTTTAACTCTAACCTAACTATAAAAAAAGACCACAAAAAAGGCTCTAAAAATATTTACAATTTTATAACAAAATATAAAAAATTTTCAGTATCATCTGATTTTAGCATCTATTTTTCGCAATTATTGTCAGGCATTAAATTTTTATTTGTTATATTGTATGATGCCAGTATTATGATCTGTTGAAATTTTAGATATTAGAATTTTTAAAAAAATTACTATAATTAACAATTTAATATTATTATTATTATTTTTGATTTTATTGTATATATGATAAGCTTTATTACAATTCTATTATAATGCTATATTAGTAAATATCTATATATTCATATATAACCATTTTCATATGGATCTTTGATAGCAAAATGACACTATGAGTATTGTTATACAAAATTTTTATTAAAAAAACATAATAAATCTATTTTTAAAAAAAAAATCCTAGCAAAGATTCCATATGACAAATCACTCTTTAATTTTCTATTAAAGAACTAATTTAAGTATAACTAGTTATTAGAAGGGAAGAAGATACTTAGACAGAACTCTGAACAATCTATAGACAGGTAAGATTTTAGTTTGCTTATTTCAGACTGTTTTTTGTTGATCTCTTTTATTTATAGTAATTAGGTTGCTTATTTCAGACCTTTTCTTGCAAATCTTTTTATATTTAATAATTTTTATAAATTGTTAGCTATTTATAGATTGTTCTGGGTCTTACTTAGACTAGTGTCTTCTGTTATTAACTTGTTACTTAATAGCTAATCTGGTTTTCTTTGAACTGCAATTCAGCAACAAAAGGATTCTTTATCAGATAAATTCTACATCTTTATAGGCAGGTTATATCACTTCTAAACTATCTTGCCTTTATAGAGTTTACTCAAGCACTTAAAACTGTGTTATTTCTCTACTTGGGTCTTGCCAAACAGGTATCAATCTTGCTGAAGTTCTTAGGATTTATCTGGATATAAGGATTTATTTTGAGTTTGTACTGCTTTTTGCTAGCTTGCATATCCTTATATAATTTGTATATTAAACAAATACCTTATAGATCTTTTCAATTTATTTAATTGACATATATCAGATTATAGAACTTAGCCTCAATTTTGATGAGTACTGTGCATAACACAGCTCTAATAGAGAAGATTGTAGCTATAATACAGATAAAAATTCAAAAATTAGCTATAACAGGATTCAAACCTTAAACATGCCACTTGAAGATGATAACTTAACCACTTTACTAAGTTATTATACTTTAAAAATTTAATTATTTAATTTTTTATTTTATTAATTAAATCTTTAATACTTTTTAATCTTTTTTAATTACTAATTGTATAGTACAGTTAGACCTCATTATAGTTATTTTTAATATAGTTACAATATTGTTATAGTCATATTATTTCTTAATCCTAGACATTATAAAACATATAAAATTTGATTTTAAGATAGTTATACATTTTAAAAATTACTAAATATTTGTTTTCTAATCTGATGATTATATTGAGATCTGACTATATATACTATATACTAAATATAATTATTACTTAATTGATATATAGCTTTAACTATTGCAGAATTATTATTTGTTATATCTTTAAATAATTTTGATGCAAGATTCTATTTTAAATTTTTTAATATAAGTAATTCTTAATATTTTCTAAATATAGATATATAAAAATCTTTATTATAAGTAAATCTTGTTTAATTTCAAAATTTGATGTTGTTTAGTATATTATAATTCAAATATAAGACTGATAATCTTGGGTCTATAGATCTGTAGTAAAAAAAATATATTAGTAATATTTTTTATTAATTTATTTAATTTTTTTCAATATAGATATTCTATAGAATAGGTATTAATATAAAAATAAGCTTTGCTAATAATTAGTAATTATTAATTTTTTAATAGCAGAGTTGTGGAGTTTGCAGAATTTATCTACCTATTTTATAAAATATTCTCTAATAATAAATTTCTATATTTTTTATTTAGTATAGTTTTATATAAAACCTAGTAATTTGAAGTAAGTTTATAAACAAATTTATAAAAATTTTTTTTGGTGTTAAAATGACCTCTTGGCTACTTTCTTTTTATTTGATTATTAATAACTTTTTCAGTATAGTATACTATATACATATTTGTAGAGTACAACTAGCTATACATATAACTTTTAGTTACCTATTAAAGTAGTTCACTTATTATTAAGTTTTACACTAGATATCATACCAATAATCTAATTAGAGAGTTATCTATTTAAACTTTTTGCATCTATGTATATTAATCATCTAACCAAATAAGAGTACTAGTATTCCTTATTCTCAGAAACTCAATTTAAGAATTTAAAGCAGGCTCTATAAAGCTCTTTTTTTTGAAGTAAAGCTACTAGAGTCTTCTATATCTACAATCTGGCTAATCTAGTCTTTATTTAATACCACAGGCCATGGCCTACCACTTGTACTCCAGTTTTATAGCAGAAGTATTCTTTGGCTATTTTGTATTTACCAGTTTT